TTTTTTTTTTTTAAGGGGGGAAAATCATCGAATGACTGCTCCCGCCTGGGTGAGGCGGGAGGGAGTGTCAGACTCTTACTGACTAAAAACCACTCCGTTCCTTCTCCTGCACGTCGAGTCGGAGCCCCGGTTACCCGTTAGGTTCTCCGCGACTCCGAGGTTCTCCGCGACTCCGATACGTGTGCCCATAGATGGTTCTGATCGCTTACCATCAGGTGATCGGTCTGCTCCATTGCCGCCCTAATTCCCATAAACGAATATTTCTAAACTAGCTATCGCCCGCGATTTCGTCCGCGTAGATTATGATTCCTATTTTATCCCATGTTAGGCCATACGCTGCTTGTATATCAAATTTCATCGACGGACAAACATTTAAACAAAGAAACTTGCAACAACATAACATATAACATAACATCACGCCTTTTATTACCGAAGGGGTAGGCAGAGGTGCACATTATACCACTGTACACTATTATGTTATGAGTCCCATGTAATATGGGGTGAGCTTATTGCCATATACCGGGCATAATTCCAAACTCCGTGCTACTACTGAGATTTTTTTAAAAAATCCAGTAATACTTTGCCCGACTCGGGAATCGAACCCGAAACCCCTAGGCCGAGTCGCACTTGCGACCACTCGGCCAACGAGGCAGTCAAAAAACTTGCATATTTATAATATTTTTTATTTATTTATTTATTCTTTTATGTACACAATTTTATTATGGCACATAAGGCGAACTTAATGCCATATGGCATTCTCTACCAGTCAACCTTAGGGTTTAAGTTGAAAATCAGCGAAAAAGAAGGTACGGATACGGAAGGTACGAATATTAATGTGGTTTCTAAGTTAAAGCCCTCACCTGCTCGCCATTTCCACTTTAAGTCCCATATCTCTGAGGCTCTTCGCTACATTCTCTTCAAATGCCTTCTGTTGCTTGTGTGTCTTCAGCATGGAGTCGTAATCAGAACCCCGTGTTCTAAGCACTTTCTCTAGTTCCGATTCTGATAGATTCTCGTGGCAATGTCTGGAAAGAGCAGAAACATATTTTTATTATTAATATAACATAACATCACGCCTTTTGTCCTCCAAAGGGGTTAGGCAGAGGTGCACATTACGGCACTTAATGCCACTGTACAATGTAACACCCGATTTTCACTATTTATGTTATGAGTCCCATGTAATAGGGGGTGAGACTATTGCATATACCGGGCACAATTCCAGACTCCGTACTACTACTGAAAATTAAAAAAAAACCAGCAGTACTTTGTCCGACCCAAGCATTCAACCTGAGACCCCTTGCTCGGCAGTCGCACTTGCGACGGACGTCTTGGCCATAGACACGCCCGCCATAACCTACAAACCTCCGCTAAACCGGTGCGACTCCCGTAAGCCAGGATCTATAGTAGATACAACCATGAAAACACCGGAACACTAAAGTCCAGTGCGTCCTAGAGACATGAATGGTCCTAGGGTCTCGGATTCTACAACGAAATAAATCAGAAGATAGGGATTGGCTATTACCTTCGTTCGTTAAGGGACTTAGCCCAATTACCCTCCCCTTCCCGAATCTTCCCAATTCCTGAATCCCCAACGATTCTCAAACCCAAAAACCCGGTAACGCACTTGTAACGCCTCTGGTGTTCCAGGTGTCCATGGGCGACGCCGATTGCTTACCATCAGGTGATACGTCTGCTCGTTTACCGGCTTATGCCATAAAAGAAAACTACAAATTTTACGAAGACCGGGCAGCAACGCTCTCTGATTAACTTGAACTTTTTAAACTACGACCTGATGGCCGATTACCAAGCCTGGGCTATGGCAAACCTTATTAATGTAAAGGAGACTGTAGGTCCAGCAGAGGTCTGTCACAGGGTGTCCATTGATTGTTAAATTCTTTTTTTTTTTTAGTAGGAACTTAGAACTTTTAACCAACGGCTTTACGTAATAAAAACTATAATGCAATATCAATGAACACGTAGAATAAAAATTATTCATAACCACATTTAATTTAGGAGAAAAACAAACTATTTGATCTGAAGAAAACATCATCTAAACAAATATTGTAATGACGTATATCACGTACACTAAAACATAGGATTTCCACTCTTATATCAACGCAATTAAGGTTTAATGTTACACTGACAGTAAATACAGTATATGTTTAACATGGTCTTGGGTATTAACTTACATTACGCGTGTAAGTATTATTTTAAAAGATAATGTCATACATATTTTGCTTTCGCGTATTTTAACGTCATCATGAAAAACGCATCTCTTCGAAAATATTAATAAGACAACATAATGCTTTTATTTCACGTAACACAAACAAGATTTTATTTGTTTTTATAATAACTACCATGAGACAAACTAAATTAACTACAAATCGCGGGTTACTGCCTCGTCCGCCGAGTAGTCGCAAATACGACTGCCGGACAAGGGGTCTCGGGTTCAAATCCCGGGTCGGGCAAAATATTATTGGGTTTTTAAAAAAATATCAGTAGTAGCACGGAGTCTGGGATTGTGCCCGGTATATGGCAATAGGCTCACCCCCTATTTCATGGGATTTATAACATAAATAGTGAAAAGTGGGTGATACATTGTACAGTGGCATAAAGTGCAACTCTGCCTACTCCTTCGGGGATAAAAGGCGTGATATTATGATGTTAAGTTTGTATTTATTACAAATACCCTATCAATTGTGGTGCCAGCAGAGTACTATATTTGTCACCATCCCTACTCCTCGCATAGGTGTCTTAAGAACCAACTAAGGGCCTACATATTTGACAGAGATCAGGGAAGAGTCATCATCATCATCAATTGCCCATAAGTGGCTACTGCTGAGAAAAGGCCTCGCACGGAGAAGGTTTGATCATTAATCACCACGCTTGCTCAATGCGGCTCAATGGCGGAACGCATTATGTTATGTAATATTGGTAAGATGTGTCTACTTATCTCTTGGAAAAGCAAAAAGCATAATATCAAAGATACTCATGACAATAGAAATGCGTATAATCGACGTTTGTTTTTCCTGATCTAACGTTATTTCAGTAAACATTGTATGTTTGTTATATTCATTGAGATTCACTTGTAATAACAGCTGATAACAATAATTTATAAACATGTCAATTGTTATGTTGCATTGTTTTATTAATTGTCTATTGTTGTAAGAATATTGTTGACTGCGCCGTAGGTGCGTGGGCTGGGTAACTGGCTGCCGGTTTCGATTCCCGCACGGAACAACTCTGCGTAATCCATAGATTGTTGTTCCGGGTCCGGGTGTCATGTGTATGTGAACTAGTATGTTTGTAAACGAACACACGACACAGGATAATATTCCAGTGTTTTTTTTAAGGGGGGAAAATCATCGAATGACTGCTCCCGCCCGGGTGAGGCGGGAGGGAGTGTCAGACTCTTACTGACTAAAATCCTCCCCGTTCCTTCTCCTGCACGTCGAGCCAGAGCCCCGGTTACCCGTTAGGTTCACCGCGACAAAAAAAAAAGAAAAAAAAATTCCAGTGTAGGGCTACGTTTTTAAAAAAAGAAAATAATAATAAAATTGTAGTAATAGACGAGACTCTTATTCTTCTTAACGAATTTTTACAGATCACCTGATGGCAAATAGATCACCATCGCCAATGGACAAGAGGGACTATATAACGACGTCTGTTTTTAAGTCTGCAGTTAAGCAGAAACAGGACTCATGAGAATTTAGTATTCCGGAATCAGAACTCGAATAAACCCTCAAGAAGACCCATCCGAAAATTTCGATAAATAACAAAAAAATAAATTTTGTTTCTGACAGACGCAGAAAACTAAAAATTATAAGTTACTCGCGTAAATATACTGAAGAAAGTGAAAATACTGAAAAAAATAATACTAAGTAAATACTAATACATGAGGAATTGAGGAAGAGTCCCTCTGTGCCTCGAAACCAGTAGAGCTTTTCTCAGTATACTCGTAATTGCCTCGTAACTA